TTCTCCTTCTCCTTCTCCTTCTCCTTCTCCTTCTCCTTCTCCTTCTCCTTCTCCTTCTCCTTCTCCTTCTCCTTCTCCTTCTCCTTCTCCTTCTCCTTCTTCTTCTTCTTCTTCTTCTTCTTCTTCTTCTTCTTGTCTTAGTTAGGGATTTTATTGTTGTGAAGAGACATTGTGACTGACAGCAACTCTTACAAAGGAAAACATTTCATTGGGAGTGGCTCACTTAAGCTTCAGAGGTTCATAGTCAATTACCATCATGGTGGGGAGCATGGCAGCATGCAAGCAGACTAGATGTGGTGCTGGAACTGAGAGTCCTACAACTTGCAGGCAACAGGAAGTTGACTGAGACATTGGATGGTACCCCGAGCATAGGAAACCTAAAAGCCTGCTGCCACAGTGACACACTTCCTCCAACAAGGCCCTACTCACTCCCAGTATAATTTCTAATTGCATTCTGAATACTTATCCTTAGATGCACAGATATGTGTAGTTCTTACCCTTTATCAAAGGAGCTTCTTTTCACAGCAGCAGGAGACCATTATAAAAGCCACAGGCAATCAAAATACAGAGAACAACTGGCCCTGGCCTGTACGGCCTCATTTGCTACATCTACAATACAACCTGTATATCTACGGCTCAGGGAAAATTGCAGAATAGGGCCAGGCAGAACCAGAGTACCACGGCACCTGTTATCAGATAGTGTCTTCCATATGCGACAGGGAAGCTGCACCCACGGAGTCTCAGAAATATTGTCACATAAACCACACCTCCACAGTGACAGCACTAGCTGACACCCCAAAGTGGAAGGCGGAAAATTACAAGACTCCAACCTTAGATGAAGTGCCACAGGTAATTAAGAAGAAAAATGTGATCAATCTTCTCCAGCAATAAGCCCGCTGATATGTTACTCGGTCCTAAGTGCTCAGCCCTAAACACATAAAGGAGCAACAATAAATGGATGCAGCAGGTGGTGTACACACACACACACACACACACACACACACACACACACACACACACACACACCAATAATGACTAAAGAAGAGGTCACAGATTTGAGAAGGAGCTGGGAGGAGGTATAAGGTGGAGGAGAGGTAGAAAGGATGAAAATACAGCACACACGTATGAAGGTGTCAAATGCTTTTAATTAAAGAAAAAGAAAACAGACGAAGAGTGCAGAAGGAGGCATCTGACATGCATGCATGCATGTAGCAAATCCTGGCACTGGATCTGGAGTGGATAGTCTGATGCCACAGTCTGGATTTCTAGCAAATGCCTAAGCAAAAAATAGCAAGCCTGTTACCAGACACATGAGAACCCCACACAGATTTATTGTTGTGAAGTCATTACCAGCTTCTAAGTGAAGAATGGCAAGTGGCTGTGTCTTTTATTACCAATTTCCTACATTACAGATGACCTTATAGATTATAGGCTCTGTCATTTTCTATGACATTTTATGACTAAAGGACACACCCACGTCTTCTCCTATGTTAGTACTTAGACAACTAGACTGTACCAGATTTTACCCCAGTTAGGATTTTGATGGCTATACAATGGGAAAAGTCAGGTAAACCGATCTTATAATTTTGTCTTAGCTTTGTATCCTTGCTTCTGAGTTTCCTGTGTACTCAACCAGCTCTACTTGCTTTAACTTTCTTGTTCCAGTGGTTTTGGCCTAACTCTTGTGATGTATGTTTCTTAAAAATAAAGATTGACTCTGTGTTTGAATTAAGAAAACAGTACAGACATGAAGAGAGTCAAATGAGGGTAGTGATGGCAGGAGAATATGGCACATGACATGTAACACTATGTTTATTGCTAGGCATTGCACTACGTGCAATGTGTTCACATTTACTTCTCACAAAGGCCTACAACAATGGTTCTCAGCATATGGGCTGCAACCCTTTGGAGGTGAAAGACCCTTTCATAGGGGTTGCATAACAGATATACCATATATCAGATACTTATGATTCATAACAGTAGCAAAATACAGTTATGAAGTAGCAACAAAAATAATTTTATGGTTGGTGTCTTTAATATTTTATCTTTAAAATAACATGAAGAACTGCATTAAGGGTTGCAGCATTAGGAGGGATGAGAACCACTGGTCTACAAGACAGACATTCCATTTCCCTTCTTTATACAGAAGAGGCTGCTGTGCAGAGGAAGAGATTGCCCATGATCCTGCAGCTGGGATTAGTAGTTTAATCACAGGTAATTTTTTTCTTTCATAATTGCTGATAGCATCTTTCTTAGCCAACACCATGCTTCTGTTTCTTCCCCTTGTTATTGTTTTATTATTATTTTTCTTGTGCTGCATGATAAATAAGTTAAACACCCTATCTAAAATGATTTTGGACTTTGAACCTAGGACTTGACTCGAGCTTGGCAAGCGCCCTATCACTGAGCCTTTTTTCCAGCCTTTAAGCACATTTCCTAATGTGTACCTCTGATGTTCTTTGTGAGAGTGCAGTCTTCTTCCTCCTATTAAAAAAACCTCTTGACAGGCTGGGGAGATGGCTCAGAGGTTAAGAACACTGGCTTCTCTTTCAGAGATCCTGAGTTCAATTCCCAGCAACTGCATGGTGGCTCACAACCATCTATGATGTGATCTGACACCCTCCTTTGGCATGCAGGTGTACATGCAGAACAGCCATACATAAAATATAAATAAATAAATTTTAAAAACAAAAATGAAAACAAAAAAAAATCTCTTGACTTCCTCTGAGCTCAGAGACATGAGTAAGTGTTGAACACCGTCTGCTTCCCCTGGGGGTTGTAGCTTTGAGTTGTGCTGGCAAAGAAGGTGATGTTCCTCCACAGGGACCCTGGGAGGAGCCTCATCACCTCCATTTATTTCAGTAGACACCACTCTGGAACATCCAGAAGCCTGCAGAACCTGACACATACACACCTGTTCCCATTTATCTGTCACTGCGGCTTACCCTGTGTATTCCCAGAAAACATAGCTGACATTTGGGTTCCTCTGGCACTTGAAAGCTATCGAGAGACTTGCTTGCTTTGCCTCCCTCCAGCCTGTTCCCTGGGCATCGTCCACGGCATCTCCCTGGGAAGAACCGATCCGTGGGAGCTGACTGTGCTTTCATTTGACCTTGTCTAAAATCAGAGCCACATTGCAGGCAGAGGCCCCTCTGCTGCTGCCTGCAGCTTGCCAGAAATCTCTGACAGGTTGTCAACAGTGAGGCTGCATTCTTTCAAATTGGGTATGCTCATTTTGAACGTATCAGCACTCCAGCTTGGGCCATTTTCAGCTTAATTTTAAAGTGGCATCTTTTCCCCATAGACTTTTTATATTCGTCTCCTTCATGTTGGTTCTGGAAAAGACAGGTTCCTTTCCACAGCTGTTTGGCCTGATCTAAGTGATCACAGCATTGATGGCCCTACTTTCACTATGTCTTTCTCTTATGGCCCATTTTTCAGTGAATTACAACACATTTAAATAAAACAATCACTCCTGTCCTTGCACAAAGGCAATCAATGCTCATTTTAGAAAGTCACTTGAAAAAAAAGAAAGAAAGAAAGAAAGAAAGAAAAGGAAAATTACATGCAGTCCAAGTGGCGAGAGATCATTAGTGTCAACATGCTGGTGTCTTCTCGTGGCATGGACACACAGCCTGTAATTTACAGCTAAAGGTATGGATAGCTATGCAGTTCTGAAAATAATTTCTTAACGTTGGCTTCAGTTTGATATGGGTGGCCAAGGCATAAAGACACTTCAATTTGAAGGTGTTGCTTTGTTTAAGAGAGCAGTGATTTTTTTTTCTCTTATGAAGTTCCAATATGCATACATATGATGGTGCATAATATTCGATGTAGAGTCTGGTGTTTACTTATATACAGGTATATATAGTCCCCACCAAAATAAAGATGTGTAATAGTTTAAATGTCCCTCTAAATATACATTTTTTTTTCCTGTTCAATAGCCTCTATTGACTGGAAGATCAAGAAACCACCGTGCTGACTCCTCAGACCATACCTTAATTTTGCAGTTCCCAAACTTCAGGTAGATTTATGCACTAATTATTTTTTGCTATCTGACTTCTTTTGTTCATTCTTATATCTATGAAACTCACCTAAATTGTTAGTCTTAACAGTAGTTTGTTCTTTCTTTTTTTTAAACCGTGTGTATGTTCATAGTATTCCTTGCCTGAATACACCACAATTTATTTTGCTGATGGATGTTTGGAAAATTTCCAGTTTTAGGCTCTTTTGAATAAATATGCTATTTTTGACTAAGGCTGAGGCCTTTCTTGTCACTGTGTCTTCTTTTAACATCCCCCTCTGCCCTCCCAACCCCCACCACAGCCAGTCTTGAAGGACTCTGCAAGAATCTTCTCCCAGGCTAATAATCTCCATCTCCCAGCCTATTTCCTGGACCTGAGCTGCAACAACAGCCGCAGTGGATTTATTTTTGTCAAATTGGCTCTTCTGTTTTATTTTTTTTTCCCTCTAAGAATTGGAAACTCTCAACCTTAGAAGTCAAGTTCTCATAAGGCCCCGATCACAAAAGGGATAGAAACTGGCAGGCCAGGTGCAATGTCAGATTGAATGTCACGGTCAAAGGGGATTTCTCTAAATATGAATGAACATTCTCCAGGTCTTTAGGAAAAAAAATTCATGTAAAATGAGAAAAGTGCTGTTCTGGGAGGTATAATCAGTTTTTGTATGTACAAAGGGAACTGGAGAGGCGAAATTTTAAAGACAATTCCAATAGTCCTGGCATAAGGAAGCAATAAGAAGGAAGGAAGGAATGTGAGAGGCTTTGTGGGAGAACGAAGTCTAGGGTAAGGGAAATGTGGCTATGTGCGGGACTGTCAATGAGGGCTACGAAGAAGAGAATTTTGACACCAGTGCTCTGGATCCAGATGGCTGGGATTACGTTTCTCATTCCATTTGCTTGGGTTTGGGGAAAGATGAAAAGTGTGTAAAGAAGCATGCTTTTGAAAAATATAGATGTTAGGGGGAAATGCTGGTGTGTGGGGAAGCAGATGCGGAACTGGTTTAAGAGTGTAGTGGGATGAGAAAAAGGTCCATTGAGGGGTGGAGGTCATGGGTCTTGTATGTAATGAAGAGGGTTGCATTTGGAGGTAGATGTCATTGTATATTATTTATTGTTCACGATAAGTTGCTCCCAAATGTAGCATTTCAAAATTACTATGCACTTACGATTTCACAGACTCTGTAAGCCTGGTCCTCCAGCTTTGGGTTTTTCACAGGGCTGCCCTCATCTCCGTGTTAGTCTGGGAAGAGTTTTCTTATAGGCTCTTCCGTGTGCTTATTGGCAGTCTTCCACTCCTTGTGCCTTGTAAGAGGGAGATTTAGCTTTTTATGAGCCCTATGGATCCTTGCAAGGTTGACATCTCCACCACGTGAATGACAACATGGACGCACCATGGTAGAGGGCAAGAGAGAATGCCAGCAACAGAAGAGAAGCTAACAAGGTGGAAGCTAGACTCTCAGATCTTCCTCATGGGCAAAGCTTTATATCAACCTGTGTTATGTGCTTTGCTGACAATGGTCGTCATTAGCCCTGGATCATTCAAAAGAAGGAGCTTATGTACAGGGCTGGGGCACATGGGGAGTCACTGTGAGCCCTGACAAAATGCCTAGCCACGTACACTTAAAGTCATATTTGAGGACCTGGTGCTCATAGGCTACAGACAAACTGAAGTATTTATTGGTACCTATAACTTTGCAGTTAGAAAGTTCCAGAGGAATATTAGAAGTGCCTTCCTTTGAGAGGAGGCCATATGTCAGTGGAGGTGTTTTTGGCATTTACTAATGCACTCAGTAACTTGATTTGAGAAGCGAACTGCGCAATACTGTATAATTTCAAACACTTTTCTAGCAAAAATGTATTACCTTTAATTAGACTCATTTAAAGCTGTTAAGACTCTTGTCAGAAATAATTTTTAAGTGGTTGTGTCAAGATAAAAACAGCAGTTGTCAAGTGAAGAAAACGGTAATTTGTGCATACGCTGTCTGGTTTATGAGCAATTGGCTCTTTAAATGCTAGCTGAGCGTTTGTACTTACAATTCTTTTACAGCAACCACCTTGGCAGTCAGGAATTCAAGCTGTTGGAATGCTATTGTTTGTGGTAAATATTTGTCCTATGACTAGGGAATTAGATTTGGTTCCTACCCTGTAATATAGACAAAAGCATCACTAAGAAGGGAAAGCATTTGAGCAATTGAGTTCACCAACTGGCTGAACTCATCACATGAGCAAGGCATTCTGGGTGATTACAGAGTAGAATAATAGCAATAATGAAGACCACTCCTTGGTGAAAGCAAATCAGGGGACTCTGGGCATTTGAAAAACCTGAATTCTGCATGTAATTGTTTTAGGTTGCTCAGTTCTCTAGCAGACTCTTGTGACAGAGCTCTGGAAAGGGGCACTCTCACTTGGCCTCTGTGGCAAGGTTTCTTTATGGGGCCCCTATTGAAATTTTGGGTTACAGAATTTTTTGTTGGGAATGTGTGTTGTGGAGCAGGAGCAGCATTCCTGATGTCAACTCTTTCCATCTAGTAGCTCTGCCTCCTCCAATGTGAAAACCAGTTTGGACAACTAAAGTGTTTCAGATATCATCAAGAGGACTAGGATAGGAAAACGATCAGCACACAATAGGATCCAAATTAGCATTTGAATCAGAGAAATCTGAATTAAGAAGATGGAATAGTATCTTATGTTGTGTGTAGTGTTTGCATATACATCTGTGTGTATACTTTCATATGTGTGTAACTGTGCATGTGAAAGGTATGTTAGGTGTTTTCCTCTATTGCTCTCTACCTTACTATTTGAGACAGGGTCTGTCACTGAATCTGAGGTCACTGATTCAGTTAGAGTGGATGACCAATGTCTTAGTTAGGGTTTCTATTACTGTGAAGAGACACCATGACCATGGCAACTCCTATAAAGGAAAACATTTAATTGAGGTGGCTTATGTTTTCAGAGCTTTAGTCCATTATCATCATGGTGGAACACAGTGGTATGCAGGCAGCCATGGTGCTGAAGAAAGAGCTGAGAGTTCTACGTCTTGACCCACAGGCAACAAGAAGTGGTCTGAGTCACTGGGCATGGCTTGAGAATATATGAGATTACAAAGCCCACCCCTACACTGACACATTTCCTCCAACAAGGCCGTACCTAGTCCAACAAAGTCATACTTTCCAATAGTGCCACTCCCTATGAGCTTATGAGGGCCAATTATATTCAAATTACCACAGCTAACTAGCCCCAGGAATCCCCCAGTCTCTATTTCCCCAGCACTGGATTATAGGCATACGCCACACCCCACTTTTTACACAGGAGCTGGTGCATCCAAACTCAGGTCCTCGTGATTTCAAAGCAGTGTTTTATCTGCTGATCCATCTCCCTATCCCCATCTTACTTCTCTACACTGGAGGAGTAAGTAAAATACACTTATATATTTGTTATCTTTTCTCTTGGCCCCCTATAGCAAAATCCCATATTCTATACAAGATCATTCACTTTTCTGTTCATTTATTGAATGCTCACTATATGCAAACTTATTTAACAATACAGTATGGAAGATACTGAGAAAAATAGATATAGATTTTTTGTTACTTATGGTGCTAGAGGGCATGAAGTTTGGACATAAAGCATACATACACATACAGGCAAGTATAATGCACTTTGGGAAGGATTAGCTTTAGGAGGAGACAGAGTTAGAATTTTATGACATGATGCCAAGGAACAAGGGTTCTCCCATTTAGCCACCATCTAAGCCCCAAGTAAGTGGGTTCTAAAGTTGAACTTTGAGCTTGGGTTCTCAGAGTTGAATTAAAGAGGATGAGGTTGACCTGTGGTGTGAGAATATATGGGGAATTGCAACCAGATGTCTTGGAACATAACATCAGACCAGATGCAGCCAGATAGGGGATTAGAAACTGAATCCAAAGTCAAAGGTCCTTAGAAAGAAGTAGCCAGAAGGATGCAAGAGGACCAGAAATGACAGAGCATGGAGAAGGCTTCAAAAACACTGGTAAGCATACCTGGTACCTTTGGAGAGAAAACTGTTCATGAATTCCATGCTAGACCGGCTTGATGGATTCCAAGAGTTCCAGCAGGACCATGTGTTAGTTTGTCTTCCTGTTGCTGTGAGAAAATGCTCTGGCAAAAGCAACCTAAAGAAGAAAGAACTTATTCCAGCTCACAATCCCAAGTGGTAGTCCAGAGTAGTGAGAAAGTCACAGTGAGAGGCACCTGAGGAAGCTGGCCACATGACATCCACAATCAAGAGCAGAGAGCAATGAATTTAATGAATGCATGCCAGTGCTCAACTCAATTTCTCCATGCTTATACAATCCAAACTCCCCTGCCCAGAGAATGGTGCCACCCACAGTGGACAGAGCTTCCTATTTGAATCAGTGTAATCAAGAGAGTATCCCGTAGACATGCCCCATACATGGATTAACCTATGGTCTGCCAATCACTGCATGCTGCTAGTTCAGAAGTCCATCCCACAGAATGGTGGCCACACTTAGGGTAGTTTTTATCCCCTCAACCCAATTTATCAACTCCTTCATAGACATGCCTAGAAGCTTGTCTCCTAGGTGATTTTTGATCCTGCCAAATTGACAACATTAACCATCATGGGAGGTATGGCAATCAGCAGATTTTTATTATGTCAGCCTATGTTCATCTACAGGATATATAATCCCTGTTGCTATTTCACCTAGTCCCATGATCTCTGCTTCCCATTGAACATTCCCTACAATAACTCATCAACACAAACATCATAGATAGCACCCTGGAGCTGTTCCTCCTCTCATTTTCATATTTAAAGAAACCAGGGATCATAAGTAAGTAGAAAGTGCTTTAAACATTTATCAAAGTTTGATAAGAAAAAAGCCAAGTTAAGAATTAATTATTCACTACTGTAGTACTCAGCGAAGTATTATATGGCAGCTCATTTTACCACTATCAAGTTCAAAGGTGTATCAAGGCTGCTTTCAAGGCCAGTCCCCTGCTCGGCTCAGACACTGACAGCTGGTCACGAGATCTGTCCCACTTCCCACTTCCCTCTTGATACGTGTATTCTTTATCTCCCACATGTACTCACTGACCTTTCTAGACTAAGTGGTTAACATCTCCACCCTTCACCTCTCCCAATGGTGTACAACAAAAGTTCAGCTGTTGGTGACGGAGACGGAAATCTACCTTATGCAATGAAAGGTGGTGGAACCAAGCAGATAGTCAGGCCTTCCCTCAGCAGTGCTCCAGGGAATCTCTTCCCAGCCACGCTCCATTCACTGAGTCCAGAGACTTGGCAACAGCCGTTTTTTTTTTTTTTTCTAAGTTCATTCCTAGCCACTGACAGTTACTCAGAGCCTAGACCACGTTCCCATGAGATGCTACAAAATAAGACTAGCTTCATCATCAAATAAACGTGGGCAAGGATTCCCATAATATTCTTCAACCGGGCCAAAGGAAGAACCTAGGCCAGAGGGGGAAAAAAAGACTAGGAAGAATATGAGTTTGGACAGGGTTGGAGGGATTGTGCAATGTTATCATATTCTTTAAGTTTTGGGACCTTCTGAGGCCAGCTTTCCTCTGGCTTTTCTTGTTCTTGAATTAACCCACCACACCAGTTTGGTTCAACTTATTTAAAATTTAGTTTCTTGGACTTGTAACCAAAAAGACCTGTTAAATCAATGCATTCTGGTTGCTTGGCAGACGCAAAGATGCCCAGATGGAGAAAGGCTTCAGCAATGGAGTAAACTTTCCCATGAATTCTACTTGCTTAGAGCAGAGCCTGCTGGGAGCCCCAACAGTGTGAGAGGAAGAGTTGGAAGCCTTCAGTGAGCATAATCAAATTGGCTTCTCCTTTCTTTTCGTGGGCTGCATGCTCCTACTGATGAAACAGGAGGTGAGCTCAGAGGATGTGATTGGACTCTGAATACTTAGTTTATTACACACACACACACACACACACACACACACACACACACACACACACACACACACTGTACTTCATTTGGGTAAAATAATACAGGTTAACAGCGCTGCTTAAAAAATTATCTACTTAAAAAAATTATCTACTTGTTTTAAGCACTTTCTCAAGTTATAAAAGGCTGTACATTCAAAGAAAAGCCAATGCTTTTTTCCTGGTCATCTGGCGTGGTATATAGACTGTGGGTCTCACCATGGTGGGTGGTGTAGAGTCTACCCACACTCAGTCCAGCACAACTCCTCACACTGTGGGGGCAGGGACAGGAAGGCACATTGGACTACATTGGTATTTATAGCTTCTCTTCAAAGACTCTCCCCAATAGTTTTCTCTGAGAAATTCAGTCAGTTCAACGTGCACATATCAGTGCTTCATTTACGTCTTTATGAAAGGCAGGGACTTAGATGGCATGCTTTGAAGTAGGATGCATTTGCATTCTTGAGAGGAAAAAAAAACCAGAAACTTTATTTTTTGAAGGGTGGACTGGAAAACTGAAACCCAGGTAAGAAACACTTTACCAATTGTGGCTCCTTGTTAATTATTCCCTCTCTCCTGTTAAAATACAGTGCTTGCTTAGTTGTTTCAGGTCATGGATTATTGTGTCCCACTTTTCCTATCCTCCACACTCTTACAAGAGTGATGTAATGGTAGCTTCCATATTGATTAGAAATGTACTTACTGTTTGGGTTATTCATAGGTATGTAAGGTGTGTGCATAGATTAGCCGGGAGGCTGGGGCAGGATGTGACAGCTGACTGATTCCTGGTCATAAAATTTTCTATACCTCAGCAACAGGACTGTGAATCACTAACCTTAATTCTGGACATTTGCATGCTCAGTAAATGTCCTCTCTCTTGGTCTTCCAGAGCAAAATTCCATGTGCTACATCAGATCATTCATTATCCTAACCACTGAGTTAGTAAACAGTCTGGGAGTGCCATATGTCTTAATGGGACTTGAAAAATCTTGGCTGATCTAATTTTCTTGCTAGACTGGCTGGCTAGTAAATTCCTGGGATCCACCTGTCTCTGACTCACTGGGATTACAAGCACACATGGCCAGGAACACTATTTAGTTTATATGACACAGAATATGTGGGACCAAATGAATGGAACTTGCTTGTCCAGCGAGACGCTTTACTCTCTTGATGTTTAGTTTTTTGGGTACTTAGTACATTCTAGGTACTTACTCTGTCAGATGTGAAGTGGCTACACAGGTTTCTATTCTACAGGCTTCTTGTTCACTTAGAAGATGGCATCCTGGCCCCATTTGACAATATTTGGCCTTAATGCCTGTGTTACTATGATCCAGTTTAGAAAATTCCTTCTTGTGCCTGTAAGTTTAAGCCTATTCCATCCATTTTCCTTTCCCAGATTCAGGGCATTAAGTCTTATGTTGAGTTCATTGATCCATATGGGGTTGAGTCTTGTTCAGGGTGAGAGATAAGGACCTAGTTTCATTCTTCTCCATGTATCTATCCCATTTGACAGGCACCATTTGCTGAAGATTCTTTTATCCAATGTATATTGTTGGCTTCTTTGTCAAAAATCAGGTGGTCATTTTCACAATATCAATTCTGCCAATCCGTGAACACAGAGGTCTTTCCATTCTCTGACGACTTCCTTATTTTTTTTTTTCAGAAATTTTAAGTTTCCACTGTAGAAGTCTTTTGCATCCTTGGTTAGGTTTGTCCTAAGATATTTTATTTTCTTTGAGGCTCTAATAAATGGGAGTGCTTCCATGATCTTTATTTATCTCATCATGGTACATAGAAAGGCTACTGATGTCTGTAAGGTGATTTTGTATCCTGCCATTTTGCTGAAATTCCTCAAGTTTTAGGAATGTGAGGCTTCAATTCTATTCCACTGGTCATGCATTTTTATTTCTTTAGTATGTAGTATGATTTGAAATGATGACAAATACTGGCATGGATGTTGGGAAGGGGGAATACTTATTCCCTACTGGTAGGAGTGCCTATGCTCCTTCTACTGTGAAAATCAGTGAGGAGGGTCCTCAACATGCTATGAAGATATCTACCACGTGATCCAGCTATACCTCTCTTGAGCATCTAGCCTAAGAACTCTGCAACCTACTGTAGAGATGCTTGTTCCTCCATGCCATTGCTGCTTTTCTCACAATACACAAGAAATGGAAACAACCTCGATATCTATCAGTGGGTGAGTGGATAGTGAATATGTGGTACATCTACACAGCAGAATATTATTCAGCTGTTAAGAAAAATGAGCTTATGAAATTCTCAGGTTAAACAGATGGAGCTGGAAAAAACCAGACTGAATGAGGTAACCCAGGCCCCGAAAGTCAAGCGTTGCATGGTTTCATTTGTAGGTGTTAGCTTTGGATTTTTAGATACATTTTTTCATTTGGAATAGCTGCAGAGACTAGGCCATTAATAAGGGGTCATGAGGAGGGCTTTCAAAGTAGAGAGATGAAACACAGTGATATAAAAGGAAAAGGGAAATAATGGAACAGGAAGGGTTAAAAGGGAGCTGGAGGGCAGGGAAGAGGGATGAATACAGGGAGGGATAATTAATACTAAAGATCTTAAGAAGAGCTACTACTTAAGAATCTTCCTAAAATATAACATAGACATTTATCAAGGGTTTAAGTGGAGTTACCCTGCAACATGGTAATGGTTTTCCCTAATAGAAACCATGGGCTAACAACAAAATTCTCAGTGTTACAGGGTTAGCCAAGGAGGTTGTTGGCCAGTGAGGACCGGTAGATTCTCAAATATCACAGGTGATTTGCCATTGCCCTTGGTCACATTCCAGAGTATGACAGTAAGACTCTACATACTTGAATTAAAGAACATTGAGAAATCAAGCTGGTATTGTGGAAGCATCATCCTTACCGGGTAGGTTTCCTGATATTGGAAGGTGCTGTGATTACTACTGGGGGATAAAAGTAGTCATCAGTCTTATCCAGTTGTGAAAACTGCAAACTACAACAATTATCAGGATGGCAAGACACACCCCCTGGTGCAACACAGATGTCTTGGGGCTAACCAGCTCTTTCTCATAGGATTTAAGACTTGCTCCTCCTGTGACAGGCAGGTCATAGACCCTTTGGGAGAACTATTAATATTACTCTGCTAAAGGGACATAGTAGTAAACCAGTTCCTAATGACTTACCGTTATACCCATAGATCAGTGCGTGTCTCCATCCATATCAGGGAAGTTTTTCTTTCTTTTCTCTTCTCTTCTTCTTCTCTTCTCTTCTTCTTCTCTTCCCTTCTCCTCTTCTCTTCTCTTCTCTTCTCTTCTCTTCTCTTCTCTTCTCTTCTCTTCTCTTCTCTCCTTCCTTCCTTCCTTCCTTCCTTCCTTCCTTCCTTCCTTCCTTCCTTCCTTCCTTTCTTTTTTTTGCAGTACATAGTGATCAGAGCGAGACCCACAACTCATTAAGAATAAGATACTGTGGAAGGATGAGTCCTACATGAAAAGTCTTAATCACATCTTCCCCTGAGGCTCAGCGATCTCAGCGATCTCCACGGGAGACTGGGGGACAAAGATTCTAAGAGGCAGAGACAGTGACTGAATCAAAGCAAATAGTGTTTTCAGACACCACAGGGCAGTTGCATGGACAAGCTCACAGCCGTTTGTGACAGCACACACATCTGGGAAAGCTCAAGCAATGCGAAGACTCAGCATGGAGGGCGGAGGTGGACACGAAGGCCCACGTCTACTGGAGGAGCTACTGGTAAGTAATAACTGCCAAGAGAGGGTGAGCGAGTTGTTGCTTAATTGTGTGGCTCCTGGGAGGTTGACCACTTGCCATTGGCTATCTACACACTCAAGCGTACAGAAGAAGAACTTTAAAAAGGAGGACACAATATTGGGTGGGCTTAGACATGGGAGAAGTTGAGGGGAGGGTGAATATGATAAAATACAATGTATGAAATTCTAAGAAAACTAGTAAAAAAAATAAAATAAAATAAATTATACCAAATGGTGAGGTTGGGTGCGGCAGGACCTTTTAAAAGATCATTCCATTGATACAATTAACAAGAGAGCTAATGATGTGAGCTAAACTATTTGATTGACCTAAGCTAGTTAGGTACTCTTGTCCCAAATGTTCAATCTGCCAAACCTCCTCTGCACTTCTCATGCATTATAATTCCCTCCACGGCTCTTTATTTTCAGCTAGCTGGTCAAGGAAACTTGGGGCGTTTTCTGAAGACGCCTGGGCCTTAGGGAGTAATAGTGTGAACAGGTGACTTAAACTTGTGCCTGGGTGTATATAGGCATCCGAGTTAAAGGGCATTAAACCTTGAGTGAAGATGGAGAGGGCAGACTGAAGGACTGGCTTGGCTGTAGATAGATGTGGAAGGGAATAAAGGTACCATCTGTTCTGAAGTCAGCCATCCTAAGGGAGGAGGAATAGCAGCAGATGGAGAACCAGGAGACCTTTGAAGCCACCTGCTTTGTGCACATCACTTCCCCTCCTGAGTCCCTTTGTCTAGAAAGCCGAGATAATAATCCCTGTCCTATGTTGCTCATGGGATTAGAGAGAGCATTCAATAAAAAATAGAGTGATATGTTTTAAAAAGCCACAAATAATTCTGTAGATGCTAATTATCATGTTCAGCCGTTGAGCTGAAAGACAGTTTGTGGATCAAAAAGTAACTTTCCTGGGGACCTTGTGCACATTTTAATACATCCCCCTTCTCAGGACTCTGAGTATCACTGTTAAGGGTTGATTACCTTCCACCGTCAAAAGCCACTTGGCAACTTAGGTTACTGTTTGGGGGAGAGTGTGCTGTCAGCTGCTGCGAACATGAACTTTGAAGTGATGTGGTTATAGATTTCATTCTCTCCATTGCAGTTGACATCTGTACGACCATGATGAAAGGCTTTAATTACAAGAGAAAGAGTTATTAAGAGAAAGGCACCTTCC